GTGATACACACGTAACAACATGTACCGTATATGCCACCATTATATCAACAATGTATCTCTTAAATCTTTTGTACCATATTATGTAATTAAATATTCCTATTGATAAAAATGAGAATAAAAGATGGGGTGGTAGGGGAAGTGGAATATTCAAACGGCTTCAGGAAGAAATCCAAATATTCTTCCTTGAAGCCTTTTTATCCACTTCTCCGAGGTTGTGGGTCCTACAATTTACACCAGAGGTGGACCCCATTATATATACGTATCTATCTATCTATCTATCTATATATATATATATATATATATATATAATATATATATATATATATATATATATATATATATATATATCTATATATATATATATATATATATATATATATTATATATATAAATATATACTATGGTGTCGTCTGAGATGGTCTGTGTATATTCACCGGGAGGTGTATGCCTAAATGATCTCTTCCGGGTTTAGCACTTCATCGAAAACATAATAAATAATAATAAATAATAATAATAACACATACACACACACACACACACACCACACACAACACACACACACACACACACACACACACACACACACACACACACACACACACACACACACACACACACACACACACACACACACACACACACACACGAAAATGTCCTGGAGGCAGTAGAAGAAAATGAGAAGTAATTTTAAGGTGATCAGTCCCTCAGTCTTGACAGGGACTGATCACCAGGGACTGATCACCAGGGACTGATCACCAGGGACTGATCACCAGGACTGATCACCAGGGACTGATCACCAGGGACTGATCACCAGGACTGATCACCAGGGACTGATCACCAGGGACTGATCACCAGGACTGATCACCAGGGACTGATCACCAGGACTGATCACCAGGGACTGATCACCAGGACTGATCACCAGGGACTGATCACCAGGAACTGATCACCAGGGACTGATCACCAGGGACTGATCACCAGGGACTGATCACCAGGACTGATCACCAGGGACTGATCACCAGGGACTGATCACCAGGGACTGATCACCAGGGACTGATCACCAGGGACTGATCACCAGGGACTGATCACCAGGGACTGATCACCAGGGACTGATCACCAGGTACTGATCACCAGGGACTGATCACCAGGGACTGATCACCAGGTTTACTGATCACCAGGGACTGATCACCAGGGACTGATCACCAGGGACTGATCACCAGGGACTGATCACCAGGGACTGATCACCAGTACTGATCACCAGGGACTGATCACCAGGGACTGATCACCAGTACTGATCACCAGGGACTGATCACCAGGGACTGATCACCAGTACTGATCACCAGGGACTGATCACCAGGACTGATCACCAGGTACTGATCACCAGGGACTGATCACCAGGACTGATCACCAGGGACTGATCACCAGGGACTGATCACCAGGGACTGATCACCAGGTACTGATCAACCAGGGACTGATCACCAGGACTGATCACCAGGTACTGATCACCAGGGACTGATCACCAGGACTGATCACCAGGGACTGATCACCAGGTACTGATCACCAGGACTGATCACCAGGACTGATCACCAGGGACTGATCACCAGGGACTGATCACCAGGTACTGATCACCAGGGACTGATCACCAGGTACTGATCACCAGGGACTGATCACCAGGGACTGATCACCAGGTACTGATCACCAGGGACTGATCACCAGGGACTGATCACCAGGTACTGATCACCAGGGACTGATCACCAGGTACTGATCACCAGGGACTGATCACCAGGTACTGATCACCAGGGACTGATCACCAGGGACTGATCACCAGGTACTGATCACCAGGGACTGATCACCAGGTACTGATCACCAGGGACTGATCACCAGGTACTGATCACCAGGGACTGATCACCAGGGACTGATCACCAGGTACTGATCACCAGGGACTGATCACCAGGGACTGATCACCAGGGACTGATCACCCCGGAATTACATCGCCTGATCCTTCACGCTTTCCACTGACTAATGTTTGTAGTGGAAAGAAAAAAACAGATGTTCGCGAGACGTTTTAATCAGTACAGATGCTCGGGTGTTGTACACGTGTCTTACTCATCAAGAAAAATACCCAGGTGTGGTACATGTGTCTTACTCATCAAGAAAGATACCCAGGTGTGGTACACGTGTCTTACTCATCAAGAAAGATACCCAGGTGTGGTACACGTGTCTTACTCATCAAGAAAGATACCCAGGTGTGGTACACGTGTCTTACTCATCAAGAAAGATACCCAGGTGTGGTACACGTGTCTTACTCATCAAGAAAGATACCCAGGTGTGGTACACGTGTCTTACTCATCAAGAAAGATACCCAGGTGTGGTACACGTGTCTTACTCATCAAGAAAGATACCCAGGTGTGGTACACGTGTCTTACTCATCAAGAAAGATACCCAGGTGTGGTACACGTGTCTTACTCATCAAGAAAAATACCCAGGTGTGGTACATGTGTCTTACTCATCAAGAAAGATACCCAGGTGTTGTACACGTGTCTTACTCATCAAGAAAGATACCCAGGTGTGGTACATGTGTCTTACTCATCAAGAAAGATACCCAGGTGTGGTACATGTGTCTTACTCATCAAGAAAGATACCCAGGTGTGGTACACGTGTCTTACTCATCAAGAAAGATACCCAGGTGTGGTACACGTGTCTTACTCATCAAGAAAGATACCCAGGTGTGGTACACGTGTCTTACTCATCAAGAAAGATACCCAGGTGTGGTACACGTGTCTTACTCATCAAGAAAGATACCCAGGTGTGGTACACGTGTCTTACTCATCAAGAAAAATACCCAGGTGTGGTACATGTGTCTTACTCATCAAGAAAGATACCCAGGTGTTGTACACGTGTCTTACTCATCAAGAAAGATACCCAGGTGTGGTACAGGTGTCTTACTCATCAAGAAAGATACCCAGGTGTGGTACAGGTGTCTTACTCATCAAGAAAGATACCCAGGTGTGGTACACGTGTCTTACTCATCAAGAAAGATACCCAGGTGTGGTACACGTGTCTTACTCATCAAGAAAGATACCCAGGTGTGTACACGTGTCTTACCATCAAGAAAGATACCCAGGTGTGGTACACGTGTCTTACTCATCAAGAAAGATACCCAGGTGTGGTACACGTGTCTTACTCATCAAGAAAGATACCCAGGTGTCGTATATGTGTCTTATTCATCAACAAAGATACCCAGGTGTCGTATATGTGTCTTATTCATCAACAAAGATACCCAGGTATCGTACATGTGTCTTATTCATCAAGAAAGATACCCAGGTGTCGTACATGTGTCTTATTCATCAACAAAGATACCCAGGTATCGTACATGTGTCTTATTCATCAAGAAAGATACCCAGGTGTCGTACATGTGTCTTATTCATCAAACAAAGATACCCAGGTGTCGTATATGTGTCTTATTCATCAACAAAGATACCCAGGTATCGTACATGTGTCTTATTCATCAAGAAAGATACCCAGGTGTCGTACATGTGTCTTATTCATCAACAAAGATACCCAGGTGTCGTATATGTGTCTTATTCATCAACAAAGATACCCAGGTGTCGTATATGTGTCTTATTCATCAACAAAGATACCCAGGTATCGTACATGTGTCTTATTCATCAAGAAAGATACCCAGGTGTCGTATATGTGTCTTATTCATCAAGAAAGATACCCAGGTGTCGTACATGTGTCTTATTCATCAAGAAAGATACCCAGGTGTCGTACATGTGTCTTATTCATCAACAAAGATACCCAGGTGTCGTATATGTGTCTTATTCATCAACAAAGATACCCAGGTATCGTACATGTATCTTATTCATCAACAAAGATACCCAGGTGTCGTACATGTGTCTTATTCATCAACAAAGATACCCAGGTGTCGTACATGTGTCTTATTCATCAACAAAGATACCCAAGTGTCGTACATGTGTCTTATTCATCAACAAAGATACCCAGGTGTCGTACATGTGTCTTATTCATCAACAAAGATACCCAGGTGTGGTACATGTGTCTTATTCATCAAAAAAGATACCCAGGTGTCGTACATGTGTCTTATTCATCAAGAAAGATACCCAGGTGTCGTACATGTGTCTTATTCATCAACAAAGATACCCAGGTGTCGTACATGTGTCTTATTCATCAACAAAGATACCCAGGTGTCGTACATGTGTCTTATTCATCAACAAAGATACCCAGGTGTCGTACATGTGTCTTATTCATCAACAAAGATACCCAGGTGTCGTACATGTGTCTTATTCATCAACAAAGATACCCAGGTGTCGTACATGTGTCTTATTCATCAACAAAGATACCCAGGTGTCGTACATGTGTCTTATTCATCAACAAAGATACCCAGGTGTCGTACATGTGTCTTATTCATCAACAAAGATACCCAGGTGTCGTACATGTGTCTTATTCATCAACAAAGATACCCAGGTGTCGTACATGTGTCTTATTCATCAACAAAGATACCCAGGTGTCGTACATGTGTCTTATTCATCAACAAAGATACCCAGGTGTCGAAACATGTGTCTTATTCATCAACAAAGATACCCAGTGTCGTACATGTGTCTTATTCATCAACAAAGATACCCAGGTGTCGTACATGTGTCTTATTCATCAACAAAGATACCCAGGTGTGTACATGTGTCTTATTCATCAACAAAGTACCCAGGTGTCGTACATGTGTCTTATTCATCAACAAAGATACCCAGGTGTCGTACATGTGTCTTATTCATCAACAAAGATACCCAGGTATCGTACATGTGTCTTATTCATCAACAAAGATACCCAGGTGTGGTACATGTGTCTTATTCATCAACAAAGATACCCAGGTGTCGTACATGTGTCTTATTCATCAACAAAGATACCCAGTATCGTACATGTGTCTTATTCATCAACAAAGATACCCAGGTGGTACATGTGTCTTATTCATCAACAAAGATACCCGGGTGTCGTACATGTGTCTTATTCATCAACAAAGATACCCAAGTGTCGTACATGTGTCTTATTCATCAACAAAGATACCCAGGTGTCGTACATGTGTCTTATTCATCAACAAAGATACCCAGGTGTCGTACATGTGTCTTATTCATCAACAAAGATACCCAAGTGTCGTACATGTGTCTTATTCATCAACAAAGATACCCAGGTGTCGTACATGTGTCTTATTCATCAACAAAGATACCCAAGTGTCGTACATGTGTCTTATTCATCAACAAAGATACCCAGGTGTTATATATTTGTTTTTCTCACCACCTTGATGGTACTGTATATTATTATCGTAATGATAACTATTACAACTCACTAAAACAAAAGAAAATTTCAATACTGATACCACTGTCCACACTCATTCCAAACTTTGATGCAAAAATAGCTAATGTATTGTTATTATGACAATTGTCTAGCACCTCCTTGTCCGTATATACAATAGTGGCACTTGTCTAGCACCTCCTTATTCGTAAATACCATATTTGGTACTCGTCTAGCACCTCTTGTCCGTATATACCATTCCTGGCACTTGTCAAGCATCTCTGTTGTCCGTATATACAAACTTTACACAACACTTGGATCATTTCCAACATCGAGTATATCACAGGAAACAGCGATCTTGTAGGATTGTCTCCTTGCATAGCTCCTGTCAGGAAGGTCGCCACGTACATCAGCGGGAAGCTCTCCCTCCGCCTCCACTTTTACGCACCTTAGGCTGCCGTGGACCTCCTCGAAGTGGTCCAGGTTCTCCATGCACTCTGTCCCCTCCAGTGCCAGAAACGAGGAGGGCCCGAGGAGCAACCTCCTCTCTGCTTGCTCCCTAGACAATCTTGGAGACGGGGATAGACTCGTGGGGGCACTTGCTGAATGAGATGGAGTCGCAGGGAGACTTGGTGATAGAAATGGGAGGCTTGGTGATGGCAATAGGTTCGCAGGGAGGCTTGGTGATGGAAATACGTTCGCAGGGAGGCTTGGTGGATATGGACCTCTAGGTCTTTGTGATGATGGTTCCTTGAACGTTTCATGTTCCTGTGACGAGTCACTGTATATCTCATTTGATGGTGAAAGACCCGAGGATATTCCCCGTGACGGTGACGGAGCCCTGGGCTCTACATCTGATAGTGATGGGTCTCTGGGCTCTATATCTGATAGTGGTGGGTCTTTGGGCTCTACATTTGATAGTGATGGGTCGTTGAGCTCTACATCTGATAGTGATGGTTCTCTGGGCTCTACATCTGATAGTGATGGGGCTCTGGGCTCTATATCTAATACTGATGGGTTTCCGGGTTCTGCAGCTGCTAAGACCGCGTCTCTAGGTTTGTATTTCGATGGTAAAGGTTCTGTATGTGCTGGTGATGTCCGGGTGCCCAAGGAGAGCTCAGTGGTTGGTGAAGAACCTGTAGGAGGGCTGAGCGGTTGCGCTGGGTCAGTACTCAGTAACATGGGAGGGAGGGACACGTCTGCTAGTAATAGGGAAGAGTCAGCCTGTTGCTCCAGTGAAGGAGAGTGTTTCTTCTGCTCCTCCAATGAGAAAGAGTGTTGTAGCACCTTCTCCTTCAGTGAGGGAGGAGGCTGCTGCACTTTTTCTGGTGAGGAAGGCTGCAGTTGCACCTGTTCCTCTACTATGGAACAGTGATACGCCTGGTCCTCCACTGTGGTTTGCTGCTGCTGCTGCTCCTTCGGAGTGTCAGGAACGTGGCTTTCCCAGAGCACCTGTGTCCCGGAAAGAGTCACAGATGAAAATGCAGCCTCAACGTGCGCCCCGCCATCCACGTCCTCACCAGCAGGAGGTGTTGTCCTCACTCCTCGCTGTCTCACACCATGGTTCTCCTTCTTCGTGATGCAGACTCCACTGTGCATCAGCTCCTGGTTCTGGTTGCCAGTGACAGCACTCACCATCTCCAGGACGACGTAGGCATCAGCACCGCAAGGAGCATTTCTCATTGCTGTAACAAAACGTAAACACATGTTGCTGAAACTTTTTTATGTTTTGCCTACACCTAGGAATATATATATTTATTTATTATTAGCACACTGGCCGATTCCCACCAAGGCAGGGTGGCCCGAAAAAGAAAAACTTTCACCATCATTCACTCCATCACTGTCTTGCCAGAAGGGTGCTTTACACTACAGTTTTTAAACTGCAACATTAACATCCCTCCTTCAGAGTGCAGGCACTGTACTTCCCATCTCCAGGACTCAAGTCCGGCCTGCCGGTTTCCCTGAACCCCTTCATAAATGTTACTTTGCTCACACTCCAACAGCACGTCAAGTACTAAAAACCATTTGTCTCCATTCACTCCTATCAAACACGCTCACCCATGCCTGCTGGAAGTCCAAGCCCCTCGCACACAAAACCTCCTTTACCCCCTCCCTCCAACCTTTCCTAGGCCGACCCCTACCACCGCCTTCCTTCCACTACAGACTGATACACTCGAAGTCATTCTGTTTCGCTCCATTCTCTCTACATGTCCGAACCACCTCAACAACCTTCCTCAGCCCTCTGGACAACAGTTATTGGTAATCCCGCACCTCCTCCTAACTTCCAAACTAACGAATTCTCTTCATTATATTCACACCACACATTGCCCTCAGACATGACATCTCCACTGCCTCCAGCCTTCTCCTCGCTGCAACATTCATCACCCATGCTTCACACCCATATAAGAGCGTTGGTAAAACTAGACTCTCATACATTCCCCTCTTTGCCTCCAAGGACAAAGTTCTTTGTCTCCACAGACTCCTAAGTGCACCACTCACCCTTTTCCCCTCATCAATTCTATGATTCACTTCATCTTTCATAGACCCATCCGCTGACACGTCCACTCCCAAATATCTGAATACATTCACCTCCTCCATACTCTTTCCCTCCAATCTGATATCCAATCTTTCATCACCTAATCTTTTTGTTATCCTCATAACCTTACTCTTTCCTGTAATCACCTTTAATTTTCTTCTTTTGCACACCCTACCAAATTCATCCACCAATCTCTGCAACTTCTCTTCAGAATCTCCCAAGAGCACAGTGTCATCAGCAAAGAGCAACTGTGACAACTCCCACTTTGTGTGTGATTCTTATCTTTTAACTCCACACCTCTTGCCAAGACCCTCGCATTTACTTCTCTTACAACCCCATCTATAAATATATTAAACAACCACGGTGACATCACACATCCTTGTCTAAGGCCTACTTTTACTGGAAAATAATTTCCCTCTTTCCTACATACTCTAACTTGAGCCTCACTATCCTCGTAAAAACTCTTCACTGCTTTATATAATAAAATTTATTTATTTATTTTATTATCACACTGGCCGATTCCCACCAAGGCAGGGTGGCCCGAAAAAGAAAAACTTTCATCATCATTCACTCCATCACTGCCTTGCCAGAAGGCGCTTTTACACTACAGTTTTTAAACTGCAACATTATATATATATATATATATATATATATATATATATATATATATATATATATATATATATATATATATATATATATATATATATATATATATATATAATATATATATATATATATTACTTTTTTGGAAGACCGGTTATTAGTGGATGGAGGGTCGAGCCCCACAATTCCTTGCATTGATTCACCAGCATGGTGTTTTGTAATAATAATTAATAATAATAATAATAATAATAATAATACTAATAATAAGAAGAATAATTGGTAATGAGTCACTCACCTGTCGTGGTGGTTTCCTTCCTCCGACGACGCTTAATATGCCCATCATCTCCCTCTGTCTCACTTTCCACTCTTCTTCTCTCCCTCTTCTTCCTCCTCTTAGCTCTGTTCTTCGTGTGTCTGTGTGAAGGGTCCCTTGATTTACCTGCTTCGTCTGCCAGACAGCCCTGCTCTTCCCCTCTCCCAGGGGAGGCAGATCTTGTCATCCTGGTTCCTAGTTTCTCTCTCTCCCTGCCACTTGATGTAAGACCCCCTCCCTCCCCAGGATCTTTGTCTTCATTCCTCTCCACAGTCCCACAATAACCAAGGTTATTTTCACCGAGGTTTTCTATTTCTACTTCTTTACCATCACCTGGGCCCTGTCTTAGTGGTCTCTCTCTCTGCTGGTCCACTACAGTACTCCACCTCTTCAGAACGACTTCGATTTCTGCCTCTTCGTCGTAGCCCTGCCTCTTGAAGTGGTCAACCTTACACTGGAGGTTGGTGGCCACCCCCAGCAGCGTGCGGATGACGGGTTGCATGGCGGGGTTGACTCGCCGCTTGCGTCGCTTGTGCTTCCTGGTGGGTGTGTTGGGCGGCACAGCGCTCGGAGGCTCCTCCGGCGGTGTGAAGCTCAATGCCATCTGTTACACGGGCACATACGTATGTATAAAGCATCCAATAAAATATTGTTAAGGACAAAGAAAGCCACTAGTATGTATGTGTATGCATGTATGTATGTATGTATGTGTATTTATGTGTACCTGTACCTGAATAAACTTAGTGCATTTCGGGCAGAGTGATCCTAATGCTTACAGATACTTAAGAGTAGACATAGCTTACTGAGTGGTAAATTTTAATTATGTATTATTACAGAAGGAGAGGTATCAAAAACATTTCAATTAGTACGATTTACAATAATTCACAATAATGGTAACACATCTGTTTTGAGCTAAGTACACGGAGGGTCGAGCCTTCACCACTCCTCACCTTGAAGGGTGCGCAGGGGATTGGTCTTTCACGTGCATTTAAAAATAAAGAACACAAAGGCACAATACCGTGACTGGAACAATACACAAATAACTCGCACTGAAACGGATCATCATGTGATTAAGACCCGCCTTAGACCCGCCTTAGTAAACACTTGTCCTGTTTCCTGACAAATCTTACCCGCACTATAACGCTGTCATAAACTTACCTTCTCCTATGAGCGGGTTATTTGTGCATTAAAAAATAAACTGTTGCCCGTAAATGCTCAAGGAGGAAGAAAATGATTTAACCCGAAGGGGTAATAACCCAGGATAACCATAGAAAGCCAAGCAGTGTGGCTTTTTTCCAAGGAGATCCTCCAGTCCTCTCTCCTGAGACACTTATAACAGGTAACTAACATACTTATTTACTACTAAGCTGATAGTGACATCAGATGTCAGCAGACTTCCTTTGGTACATCTTCATACTTATATTTATTATATGATTATTTAAATTGAAAGACTAAGTATACAAGTACATGTATTGTGGAATTCTATTTACATTAGTTTCACTTAATATGTGAGTTTTCTTTAAGTAAATTTATTTAAAGAAAATATACGGTTATAGGGGGAAACTACACTATATTTAAAAATTTTCAAGGGTAAGATAAGATCTGTTGGGATTTTTAACCCGGGTGAGGGAGGGTTGGTCCTTCAATCTTGTCCCCCAGAATGCCACCCACAACAGTCTACTAACACCCAGGTACCTACTTCGGACCAAAACTTCGTCGTAAGCTCCTCTCTTCTATGTGCGGGCTATTTGTGTACCTACTAGCTTGCAAGGTGAACAGGGACAGCAGGTGTAAGGAAACATGCCCAACGTTTCCACCCGTGCCGAGGATTGAACAATGGACACTCAGTATGACAGGAGAGTGCGCAGCCAACCTAGCCACGGGCTGGGGCTAATTATATTTTTATTTAGAATTTGCGTATATGAGATACAATTTTTTTTACCAACTTCTTGTAGGCACACATGTACAAACACATAGAAAAGGTACATTAAGATATATGGATGTAACACAGAGTAGCAAAATAGTCACTGGGACTTACTTTCATTACGATCACACTAGGTTAGGTTAGGTAAGGTTTGTTAAGAAACAGGACAAGTGTTTCCTGGCGCGGATCTTCAGTCATATGATGACGCGCAACTGGAGATTTGGTCATCTGACCGAGGCCTTCTGCTGGCTTACCGCTCCACCCTTTTAAAAATTATGGTTATGATTATAAGTATTTTTTTATTTTTAACATGAAGTCATTGAGTTTAGGTAGAGATGTTATTTATACCGAGAGGAATGTATAAGCAATCTCTCCCTCCCCCAGGATTGAAACCGAGTCTTTGGGTTGTGAGCCTAGCTCGCTACTCCACTATCCAGTTAGAAAATTTTGTTTGGATTACTAACCCAAGATGACCCAATAAAGTCAATGAGTCATCGGGGACATCCTTCGAATCACTGCAAGACTTCAAGCGGACATCAACCAAATCTTTAAATGGGGCACAGAAAACAATATGAAGTTGAATGAAGACAGAATTCAATTACTCTGATATGGAAATATTAAACAAATTCCAGCCACACAGTAAAACGATAATGGGAGTGATAATGTCCGAGTCTCTCTTCCAAAGATCACAGTTTATCTACATTTGCCAGGAAATATGATAGTTAATGAGAACCTTTAAAACTAGGGATGCCAAGCCTATGATAATTCTCTTCAAATCGCTTATTCTCTCTAAGCTGGAATATTGCTGTACACTAACGATATCTTTCAAAGCAGGCGAAATTGCAGACCTGGAGAATATACAGAGAACTTTCACGGCTCCTATAAGTATGATAAAGCACTTAAATTACTGGGAACGGTTGAAGTCCCTTGATTTGTACTCCCTGGAATGCAGGCGAGAAAGATACATAAAGCACACCTGGAAAATCCTAGAGGGGCTAGTCCCAAATCTGCACACGAAAATCACTCCCATTGAAAGCAAATGACTTGGCAGGAGATGCAGCATCTTCCTCAACGAAGAGCAGGGGCACCACAAGCACGCTAAGAGACAACACAATAAGCGTTAGGGGCCCAAGACTGTTCAACTGCCTCCCAGCATACATAAGGGGGATTACCAATAGACCCCTGGCTGTCTTCAACAAGGTGCTGGACAGGCACCTAAAGTCCGTACCTGATCAGCCAGGCTGTGGCTCGTACGTCGGTTTACGTGCAGCCAGCAGCAACAGCCTGGTTGATCAGACCCTGATCCACCACGAGGCCTAGTCATGGACCAGACAGCGGGGGTGCTGACCCCGAAACCCCTTCCAGGAATACACCAGGTACCTACTTACTGCTTGGTGAACAGGGGTGGCAGGCATAAGAAACGTGCCAAAGGTTTCATTCGTGCCTGAGAGCGATCCCCGCTGCTTCATTGTGTGAGCTGAGGACGGTACCTACCTAGCCACGAGCCTACTAAGAACTTCAACGGGAATGAAAGGTGCAGACTCAGATTCCTGGCAGGTGGTTAGGTCAAGACCTATCCTTCAGTCCCAGCCTGAACGAGGTGCAACCCGGGTGCTCTCACTTAATAATAATAATAATAATAATAATAATAATAATAATAATAATAATAATAATAATAATAATAATAATAATAATAATAATAATAATAATAATAATAATAAATTTAATCCTTTTCTATAGTATACATGAAATGTATTATATACGAAAAAAAGCCGGTAACATGCTGTTCACTTCGGGTGAACACTGTGCTACTTAGCAATTGTTCACTTCGGGTGAACACTGTGCTACGTAGCACTTGTTCACTTCGGGTGAACACTGTGCTACACAGCACTTGTTCACTTCGGGTGAACACTGTGCTACACAGCACTTGTTCACTTCGGGTGAACACTGTAAGCGTACTGGCTCCTGCAAGGCAACAACTCCCGCCCAACCATCTACTCATCGTATTCAGTAGGTATATATGCCGACGTTTTAGATGACACTAGGTACCTCCTAGCTTAGTAGTACCTCATTCATTTCACAATTAAAGGTGCTGGGTTCAGTCCTGGGCGAGGCAAGCAGTATCATGAAGTCACCTAACACCTGCTACCCCTGATGCCTAGCAGCAAATGGCTACATATAAGTTAGTAGACAGCTGTGGATAACTTTGTTGGAAGGGCCTATGAGGGACCCCAACGAAAATAAGCCATACGGCTTGGCTTCCATGAGATATTAACCCTCGGTTACTATTTCGATTAAAATATATTTATTTTTTAATAGGCAAGACAAGGTAGGTATGGCACACACCTATTTATAGCCACTAAAGGAAGCGGATATGTCTCCATACCCGCAACTGAACATATCCAGCCCTCTACACAACACTTGACTTGTCATGACGTCCCGACTCCCGTTTTCTGGAAATGTAACCACTTTCACTTCCCTTACTATATTTATTGTTCAACGCTGCATTATATATCAGTTATTCACTTTATATGTGGCAGTGGTACTGGCGAGGAGTCCATGAGGCAGGTGTGAATACCTGTGGTCACGAAGGCTGTGACCAGAGCCAACTTGTTCTCTCTCCTTTACAGCATATAACTGTGATTTGTATGTAAGACTTTTCTAAATGTGTCAAGCAAACGCAGCCCTTAAGTTTCTTTTCAACTTCCAGTAAGTGATAGCGTCACGACACATTTCTGGGAGACGCTATCGAGGGACAGGAAGCACCTTAAGTTTATAATTCAGGCCCCTGGTTCTTAGCTAATAGGAAGTCTATATCATTATAATGTCACTGTAGTTTCTGACAAGACACAATGGTGCTTAAGTGTGGAACAATGCACACGAAAACCACTAACTGAAGAAAAAACAGACGCTGTTTCGGTCTGTCCTGGGGCATTATATTGACTTGTTGACTCAGGACGGACCGAAACATCGTCTGAAGTTTCCTCTCAAATCTCTGGGTTCAAATTCAAATTCAAATTCAAAGTTTATTCTCTATAAGGATTACAATGCTGAGTTTACAGAAATTTGGTTATTGTGTGGTTTACATGTAGTAAAATTGTGATTACAGAGTGTACCACTAGAACGCTTAGCATGGCTAGGCATTTCGGGCATACTTAGTTTTATTCTTAATTGTAAAATATTACAAATTATGAGGTAAGTTGGTATTATGGCTAAGTGACTGAATACTAGTTTGTGAGTTTAGCAATGTGAATGCTTTTGTTTTGGCACAGTATATAGTTTCAGTATTGGAGTATCACTGGATTCATTATTTTAAGACTGAGATTAATATTTCTGTTTATGGTCAAATGAGTGAGCGAGTGTAAGTGTGAACCACCAGGTGGTATTCGTGTAGTTAGTTGACGGGGTGTATCAGGGAGATAAGATGTTTTCTAATGGTAGTTTTGAAGGTGATGAAGGTGTCTGCAGTTCTAGAGTTCTCAGGTAGGGTATTCCAGATTTTAGGGCCTTTGACATACATTGAATTTTTGTAAAGGTTTAGTCGGACACGGGGAATGTCGTAGAGATGTTTGTGTCTGGTGTTATGCCTGTGGGTTCTGTCACAACTATCAAGAAAGCGTTTTAGGTCAAGTTGATATTAGAGTTTAAGGCCCTGTAGATATAGATTGCACAGTAGTAAGTGTGGATGTACTGAACTGGGAGTAAGTTTAGATCTTTGAAGAGTGGGGGGGTGTGCTGCCAGGGATGGGATTTAGTGATTATTCTTACTGCAGCTTTTTGTTGGGTTATTATTGGCTTTAGGTGTGTTGCTGCAGTTGATCCCCAAGCACAAATAGCATAGGTGAGGTATGGATAAATAAGTGAGTGGTATAGTGTGAGAAGGGCATTTTGCGGCACGTAGTATCGTATCTTGGAGAGATTACGTGAGAATTGTCCACGGAATCATTAAAAGCTGCTAATACCACTTGAAGTGATGACTGGTTAACCTGTGAAGGATTGCTGTTTACCTTGGTGTAATGGGTCTTGACCACGATGAAGTAGTGGATGCCCCAGACGAGGTGGAAGAAGGCAGCGAAGCCGCGGATGGTGGGGAAGAAGGGGAGCTTGATGACCACCCACAACAGCTGCATTGCCAGGTACAACACAGCCCACGCCAACCACGGCAGCAGCAACCACCGGATCTTCTACTCAAAGATATCACAGTAATAAGATACACATTCCTGCACACACACACACACATCACCACCAGCATCAACACACACACACCACCACCACCAGCATCAACACGCCACCACCACCAGCATCAACACACACACCACCACCACCAGCATCAACACGCCACCACCACCAGCATCAACACACACACACACAACACACACCACCAGCATCAACACACACACCACCACCAGCATCAACACACACACACACACCACCAGCATCAACACACACACCACCACCAGCATCAACACACACACCACCACCAGCATCAACACACACACCACCACCATCAACACACACACCACCACCAGCATCAACACATCAACACCACCACCAGCATCAACACACACCACTACCACCAGCATCAACACACACACCCCACCAGCATCAACACACACACCACCACACAGCATAACACACACACCACCACCGCTCAAACACACACCACGACAGCATCAACACACACCACCACCAGCATCAACACACACCACACCTAGCATCTAACACACACACCACCACCAGCTATCAACACACACCACGACCAGCATCAACACACACACCACCACCAGCATCAACACACCACCACCAGCATCAAACACTCACCACCACATGCATCACACACACCACCACCACCAGCATCAAACACACACCCACACCAGCATCAACACAGACACTCACACCAGCATTCAACACACACACCACCACCAGCATCAACACACACCACCACCAGCATCAACACACACCCCCCAGCATCAACACCACACCACCACCAGAATCAAACTAAACCCACGACCAGCATCAACACACACACCACCACCAGCATCAACACACACACCACCCCAGCATCAACACACAACCACCACGCATCAACACACACACCACCAGCATCAACACACACAACCACCACCAGCATCAACACACACCCCACGACCGCATCAACACACACACCACCACCACCAGCATCAACACACACACCACCACCACCAGCATCAACACACAACCACCCCACCAGCATCAACACACACACCACCACCACCAGCATCAACACACACACCAACCACCACCCAGCATCAACACACAACCACCACGACCAGCATCAACACACACACCACCACGACCAGCATCAACACACACCACCACCACCACCAGCATCACACACACCAAAACCACCACCAGCATCAACACCAACACACCACCACCAGCATCAACACACACACCACCACCAGCATCACACACACACACCACCAGCATCAACACACACACCACCAGCATCAACACACAACAACCACCACCAGCATCAACACACACACCACCACCAGCATCAACACACACCACCACCAGCATCAAACACACACACCCACCAGCATCAACACACACACACCACCACCAGCATCAACACACACACCACCAGCATCAAACACACACCACCACCAGCATCAACACACACACACCACCACCAGTATCAACACACACCACCACCAGCATCAACACACACCACCACCAGTATCAACACACACACCACCACCAGCATCAACACACACACACACACACCAGCATCAACACACACCACCACCACCAGCATAAAACACACACACACCACCACCAGTATCAACACACACCACCACCAGTATCAACACACACCACCAACCAGCATCAACACACACCACACCAGCATACAACACACACAACACCCACCACCAGCATCAACACACACACACCACCACCAACATCAACACACACCAAACCACCAGTTTTCAACACACACCACACCACCACAGTATCAACACACACACACCACCACCAAAGCATCAACACACACACACCACCACCAGTATCAACACACACACCACCCCCAGTATCAACACACACCACCACCAGCATCAACACACACCACCCACCAGTATCAACACAATCACACCACCACCAGCATCACACACACACCACCACCACCAGCATCAACACACCACCACCCCAGTATCAACACCCCACACACCACCACCAGCATCAACACACACAACCACCCAGTATCAACACACACACACCACCACCAGTATCAACACACACACCACCACCACACAGCACAACACACACACACCACCACCAGTATCAACACACACCACCACCACCAGCATCAACACACACACACAACCACCACCAGTATCAACACACACACACCACCACCAGATCAACACACACCACCACCAGCATCAACACACACACCACCACCAGTATCAACACACACACACCACCACCAGCATCAACAACCCCACACACCACCACCAGTATCAAACACACACACCACCACCAGCATCAACACACACACCACCACCACCAAAGCATCAACACACACCACCACCAGCATCAACACACACACACCACCACCAGTATCAACACACACACCACCACCAGTATCAACACACACACCACCACCAGTATCAACACACAACACCACACCACCAGTATCAAACACACACACCACCACCAGTATCAACACACACCACACACCCAGTATCAACCCCACACACACCACCCCACCAGCATCAACACACACACACCACCACCAGTATCAACACACACACCACCACCAGCATCAACACACACATCCACCACCACCAGCATTAACACACACCACCACCAGCATCAACACACACACACCACCACCAGTATCAACACACACCACACCACCACCACATCAAACACACACACACCACCACCAGTATCAACACACACACACACCACCAGTATCAACACACACCCCCAAAACACATCAACACACAACACCACCACCACCAGCATCAACACACACCACCACCAGCATCAACACACACACACCACCACCAGTATCAACACACACACCACCACCAGCATCAACACACACACGACCAGCATCAACACACACACACCACCACCAGCATCAACACCACACACCAAAACCACCAGCATCAACACACACCACCACCAGCATCAAACACACACACCACCACCACCAGCATCAACACACAACCACCACCAGCATCAACACACACACCACCACCACCACCACCAGCATCAACACACACACCACGACCAGCATCAACACACACCACCACACAGCATCAACACACACACCACGACTAGCATCAACACACACACCACGACCACCATCAACACACACCACCACGACCAGCATCAACACACACACGACCAGCATCAACACACACACGACCAGCATCAACACACACCACCACCACCAGCATCAACACACACACGACCAGCATCAACACACCACCACCACCACCAGCATCAACACACACACACCAGCATCAACACACGCCACCACCACCAGCATCAAACACACACCACACCACCAGCATCAACACACACACGACCAGCATCAACACACGCCACCAACCACCAGCATCAACACACACCACCACCACAGCATCACACACACACGAGCAGCATCAACACACACCACCACCAGCATCAAACACACACACGAGCAGCATCAACACACACCACCACCACCACATCACACACACCACCGCCACCAGCATCAACACACACACGACCAGCATCAACACACACCACCACCACCAGCATAAACCCACACACCACCACCACCAGCATCAACACACACACACCACCACCAGCATCAACACACACCACCCACCACCAGCATCAACACACACCACCACCACCAGCATCATCACACACACGAGCAGCATCAACACACACCACCACCACCAGCATCAACACACACCATCACCAGCACCACCAGCATCAACACACACCACCACCACCAGCATCAACACACACGAGCAGCATCAACACACACCACCACCACCAGCATCAACACACACACGACCAGCATCAACACACCTCCACACCACCAGCATCAACACACACACGACCAGCATCAACACACGCACCACTACCAGCATCACAAAACACACCACCACCACCAGCATCAACACACACCATCAACCACCAGCATCAACACACACCACCACCACCAGCATTAACACACACACGAGCAGCATCAACACACACCACCACCTCCAGCATCAACACACACACACGAGCAGCATCAACACACACCACCACCACCAGCATCAACACACACACGACCAGCATCAACACACCCACCACCACCAGCATCAAACACACACACGACCAGCATCAACACACGCCACCACCACCAGCATCAACACACACCCATCACCACCAGCATCAACACACACCACCACCACCAGCATCAACACACACTGACCAGCATCAACACACACCACCACCACCAGCATCAACACACACGACCAGCATCAACACACACCACACCACCAGCATCAACACACACCACCCCCACCAGCATCAACACACACGAGCAGCATCAACACACACCACCACCACCAGCATCAACACACACACGAGCAGCATCAAAACACACCACCACCACCAGCATCAACACACACACGAGCAGCATCAAAACACACCACCACCACCAGCATCAACACACACCACCACTACTTGTAGCGTCCCAGATGCCACCAGTACCTACTGTTGCGCTACAACCATATATTTATAGCGTAAAGAAAAGCCGCCCTGGGTTTGGGTCGAGGACCTGAGTTTTATTGATGAGGAAATCCAAAAAGAAACAGAGGAGTGAATGAGGTAAATAATGAGGGTAGTTAGTGATGAAACAGGAAAGATGGAGGCGATGGAGTGTATGAGTGTGTGAGGAAGTGTATGAGTGTGTGAGGGAGTGTATGAGGGAGTGTATGAGAGGGTGCATGAGGTCATCATATAGAAGAATGTGTGAGGTTAACGTTCATAAGAGTTAAATAAGATCCAGAGAAGAACGAGTGTGTCAAGCGCCAGTTATAACTAAGAGGAAGAGAGGCAAGAGGAAGGGAGGAGAGGAAAAAGAGAAGGAGGAAGAGAAGGAAAGGATAGCCAGTATGGGGGGAGGCACTGACCTTCCTGGCACCGTGGATGAGGAGGACACTCACGAACCACTGTACAGCACTGATGATACCACTAGCGTAGCTCAGCTGAGCATCTGCAAAACCAATGATTAATTACATCAACAACAACAATACCGCTTCCTGCAACAATTCACAACCCACATTACAGTGGCTGCAACAATTCACGACTTACCCACAATACCTTAGATAGAACAACTGCACAACTAAGTCACGATCCCCTTCCTACAGCTAATAACGAGTAACCCACACTTACTGAGTGTGTAGTCGAGGCACCTTGCACAGTACTCGTTGGGAAGGTTCGCACTGATGAAGTCCACCAGAGTGGAGAAAGCGCCCCACGTCTGTTGGCGAGAGGGTAAAAAAAAAAATCTTATGTTTGGCGGATTGCTAAAGATAGAATAACGCGTGATATAGCGATTAACGAAATGAAACATTATCAAGAAATCTTCGTTACTGTTAGGCCTACACATCGATATAAATGGCAGATTTTAAAAATTTGAGAATGATGAAATTAAGGAATTAGAAATGTCAGGAGACTAAGGTGTGTGTGTGTGTGGCCCGCGCAGCTCATGAGGAATTAGACACATGTGCAACACCTAGGTGTCTTTACTGAAAGAATTTTCGAAAACCGTTAAATAAGTGCAAGATGTATAATGAATAAGTGCATGATGACTGATGTATGTCATGCATTAAGTATATGAAACATGCAGTTAATTGGTGTGACGCTATTGTGACGTAAAGGTGACCATCAAATATATGGAAGGAGGAGGAGGATGAGGAGAAGAAGAAGAAAAAGAAGGAGGGTGAAAGTACTTTCAGGAGGAGAAAGAGAAGAAGGAGGGGATAGAGTAGAAATACAGCCGAGGCTGGCACCTACCAGACACACTCCACCGATCCAGTAGCAGGCTGACCTGGTCGGCTTACAGAAGCAGCAGGTGAGGGAGTAGCAGCAATTCTCACGACTAAAGCGGCACCCCATCCTGTACCTGCAACACACACACACACATGCAACATTCTCACTTGTTTAGTGGTATATATACACACACAAGCAATGTTTGTGTGTATAACTGATAAATGTACACACTGGCGTGTGCGTGTGTTTGTATGTTCACTGTTGCTTCATAGAGCATGACAGGAGAACACAACTGTCTTGGCTTCCTACAACATGACTGGGGAACACAGCTGTCTTGGCTTCCTACAACATGACAGGGGAACACAGCTGTCTTGGCTTCCTACAGCATGACAAGGGTACACAGCTGTCTTGGCTTCCTGCAGCATGACAGGAGAGCACAGCTGTCTTGGCTTCCTAAAACGTGACAGGGGAACACAGCTGCCTTGGTCTCCTACAACATGGCAAGGGAACACAGCTGTTTTGGCTTCCTACAACATGACAGGGCAACACAACTGTCTTGGCTTCCTACATGGCAGGGAAGCACAGCTGTCTTGGTTTCCTACAACATGACAGGGAAACATAGCTGTCTTGGCTTCCTACATCATGACAGGGGAACACAGCTGTCTTGGCTTCCTACAACATGACAAGGGAACACAGCTGTCTTGGCTTCCTACAACATGACAAGGGAACACAGGTGTCTTGGCTTCCTACAACATGACAGGGAAACACAACTGTCTTGGCTTCCTACATCATGACAGGGGAACACAGCTGTCTTGGCTTCCTACAAAATGACAAGGGAACACAGCTGTCTTGGCTTCCTACAACATGACAAGGGAACACAGCTGCCTTGGCTTCCTACAGCATGACAAGGGAACACAGGTGTCTTGGCTTCCTACAACATGACAGGGAAACACAGCTGTCTTGGCTTCCTACATCATGACAGGGGAACACAGCTGTCTTGGCTTCCTACAGCATGACAAGGGAACACAGCTGTCTTGGCTTCCTACAACATGACAGGGGAGCACAGCTGTCTTGGCTTCCTACAACATGACAGGGGAACACAGCTGTCTTGGCTTCCTACAACATGACAGGGGAGCACAGCTGTCTTGGCTTCCCACAACATGACAGGGAAACACAGCTGTCTTGGCTTCCTACATCATGACAGGGGAACACAGCTGTCTTGGCTTCCTACATCATGACAGGGGAACACAGCTGTCTTGGCTTCCTACATCATGACAGGGGAACACAGCTGTCTTGGCTTCCTACAGCATGACAAGGGAACACAGGTGTCTTGGCTTCCTACATCATGACAGGAGAACACAGCTGTCTTGGCTTCCTACAACATGACAGGGGAACACAGCTGTCTTGGCTTCCTGCAGCATGACAGGGGAACACAGCTGTCTTGGCTTCCTACAACATGACAGGGGAACACAGCTGTCTTGGCTTCCTGCAGCATGACAGGGGAACACAGCTGTCTTGGCTTCCTACAACATGACAAGGGAATACAGCTGTCTTGGCTTCCTGCAGCATGACAAGGGAACACAGCTGTCTTGGCTTCCTACAACATGACAAGGGAACACAGCTGTCTTGGCTTCCTGCAGCATGACAGGGGAACACAGCTGTCTTGGCTTCCTGCAGCATGACAGGGGAACACAGCTGTCTTGGCTTCCTACAACATGACAGGGAAACACAACTGTCTTGGCTTCCTACATCATGACAGGAGAACACAGCTGTCTTGGCTTCCTACATCATGACAAGGGAACACAGCTGTCTTGGCTTCCTACAACATGACAGGGAAACACAACTGTCTTGGCTTCCTACATCATGACAGGAGAACACAGCTGTCTTGGCTTCCTACATCATGACAGGGGAGCACAGCTGTCTTGGGTTCCTACAACATGACAAGGGAACACAGGTGTCTTGGCTTCCTACAACATGACAGGGAAACACAACTGTCTTGGCTTCCTACAACATGACAAGGGAACACAGCTGTCTTGGGTTCCTACAACATGACAAGGGAACACAGGTGTCTTGGCTTCTTACAACATGACAGGGAAACACAACTGTCTTGGCATCCTGCAGTATGACAAGAGAGCACAGCTGTCTTGGCTATATATATATATATATAGAATATACAGATACTTGTGCACTTTCATGTCTAACTTATCTTAGACAAATTGGTTTCTTTAACAAGGAACATAGTCTTTACTTTCGTTAAAATCATTATCACTAAAAGAATTTAGATTGTGATTGTAACACAGCCCAATGTAAACTTCTGTGTAGGCCAGTAGCAACCTGCTACTCTTGCACTCAAGTCTCCCTCACTGTGGAGTCAAGGTTCTACCACAGTAATAATGTTGGTAGAATAACCGACAATATGTTAGGTAAAACGACACAAGTGCAACTAATGTAATATTTTATTGTGGTAACGTAGCTGCTTCTGGAGAGCGAAACGTTACCACAATAACCCGTCATACTAGTTGCACTTGTGTCCTTCTACCTAACATACTACCACAGTGTTGGATCAACACACATCTTGGTCTAGCATCGTACAGTGTAATCTTGGAATACTTGATATATGTATTGAATCTATCTCTGCTTTTTAAACACTTTCTGCCTGCATGGCGGACACGTGTCCAGGTATGAGTGAACACGGGGGTTTATTGTGGCCTATACATCGTGATGATTGTTCTAACACAACCATTTAGGAACGCCTCTTTGTACACCGAGCCGTAATAAAACACTTGATTCTACACGTCCATGTGTTATCAACGCTGTTGGCAGTGGCACTACCTGGCAGTGGTGGCGGCGGCGGAGATGATGTCTCCCAGGTGGCACTCACACTCACCTAGCACCGGCGGTCAACCAGCCAGAGGACGAAGCAACTGGAGTGTAGTTGCCGTACTTGAGGTCGACCTCGGCCTGCCGCCATCCACGGCTTCGCTGCGCCACCATCCTGCAGGGAATTTTCCCTGCCACCACGCACCCGCCACGCCACCTCCGCCCTTCCACACACTTGCTGTAACGCTCACTCTCCCTTGACGCATTTTGGCGTGTACTGACTCGTAATCATCCGTCCAGACAATAACATCCTGTTAAATGGTACACTTATAATGTCATATGTTGATGTTAACCCAACTTGACACTCCTAATTATATATATGTATATCCATGTTTGTATATGTATATCCATGTATGTATATGTATATCCATGTATATGTATATCCATACATGTATGTGTAAACATCGCAGAGATGAGGTAGTAATGTATGCTAAGCCACGGGGAGGTAGGATGGCAGCGGATTTAGCGCTTTCGGCCCAAACTGTCACCTTCAGAAGCTAGATCAGTCAAGGCATCAACCAGGGTTAATTAGATATTAGATAAACTAGACGGAATATGCTCATTTCTAACAGACGCCATCCACAACACACCTCAGCCTTGTAAATTCTTTTTCAACTTTCACATATGGTTTGTAGAAAAAAAATAATTGTATTAGGTTAGATTGTCGGCTGTGAGGTGTAACGTGCCACTAAGCAGTAAAGGAAATACAAGACAAAGGCGATAATAAGTTTTGATGCGCCAACTGATAACGATAAGCCACCCAGGGTACTGTACTACGTCAGAGAATCACTGTTTAAGAGTCTTAAAACAGTCACCTACTTGACTGTCTTAGCACAACGTGCACTTACTCCCCCTCCCCTTCCCTATTCTCACTCATCAGTTTCCTCTAACCATTATAAACTACATCCAGTGCGGATTTTAAACTTCCCTAAGCTTTCACCTTTAAAGTTCCCTCACCTTCATTATCTGTGTTGGCATCTGGCTGCGTATAACCGTGGTTTAATTTGTCTACTATAACTGACGTCTTCCCTTGATTAATCCCTTTCACCATTTTTTTTTTTTGTGGTCATCCATATTCTTGAAAGTGAGAACAGTGTCTAACATTAACGAACACTCACTTGCTTACCTCAACCTTCACTCGCTCACCAACAACACACCTGGAAGGAGTCTTCAACTCTTCCTCTGACTGGTTAAATCATTTTATATTATAGCCATGAGGGGAGTGCTAAACCCGTAGGGGGGTCATATGGCACCCTGGGTTGCAGAGGGGTGAATGAATGGAAGGTGTTTAAGTTTGATCAAAGTGTGAGATTATTATTATAATCAAAAAGAAGCGCTAAGCCACAAGGGCTATACAGCGCTGCAGGGTAGGGAAGGAAGCAAGGGAATTGGATGGCAGAAGGGAGGGGGGATGATCAGCAGGTTACAGAAAACAGCGGGGCAGGGGATAGTACGGGGGTAGAGGGTAGCAAGAGATTGAAGTAGAAAGGGCTGAAGGTATCAGAATTTGTGAAGTAAGTCAGTTGTTGTCAAAAAGTCAATGAGAGAGTCCGGATGAAAGGTGGGTCCATCAGCGAGAAGGGAAGGTAAAGAGAGAGCAGCGGGGCGAAGACGACGACAGAGGTAAATTCTGCGTGCTCGTTGATAAAGTGGGCAGTCCAACAGAATGTGGCTGACTGATAATGGAGCTTGGCAATTCTCACAGAGAGGAGCAAGACGCCTCTCCATGAGATATCCATGAGTAAGACGAGTATGGCCAATGCGAAGACGGG